ACAGAGGGGGGGGCGGGTGGGGGAAGGGGGGGGGGGGGGTGATGATTTGGGCTTGTTTTACAGCCACAGGACCTGGGCACCTTGCAGTCAGTCAACCATGAACTCTTCTGTATACCAAAGTATTGTAGAGTCCAATGTGAGGCCATCTATCCCACAGCTAAAGCTTGGCCAGAATTGGGTCATGAAACAGGATAATCCTCCTAAGCACGCCAGTACATCTACAACAGAATGTCTGAAAAAAGGAAAACAAATTCAAGGTGTTGCAATGGCCCAGTCAAAGGCCAGACCTCATCCTGATTGAAATGCTGTGTCGGGACCGTAGGATAGCTGTGCATCAACAAATGCCTGCAAACCTCAATGAAAAGAAGCAACGTAAAGAAGAGTGGTCCAAAATTCCTCCACAACAATGTGAGAGACTGATGAGGTCATGAAGAAAACGATGACTTCAAGTTATTTCTGATAACGGTGGTTCTACAAGCTATCAAATCATAAGGTTTACTTAGTTTTTCTCATAGTTTCCCCATTTTGGCTTTACATTTGTAAAATAATGACAAGGTGTAATGTGTCATGTGTGGTTGTTCACCTCGGGTTGTATTTACCTCATTTTAAGACCTGCTAAGGACCAGATGACTTATGTCCTGATACTTAAAACCACAGAACTCAGAGGGTGTACTTTCTTTTTCACAATGTATGTCACATACTGGTCCAGACAGAAAGTTTTGATCCGTTTTCTGGATTTTCTTGTCATGCCAAAGAAATTCCCATAATCTAAGAAACATTTGTTTTTCTTTTACACTTCTGTATTGTATGTTATAATGTACAGTACGGGGAGAACAGACCTTCCCTACAAACCCCAATGATGACCTGTGTAATAGCACTTGGACTGTGTTCCCATGCTTGATGTGCTCAGTATTCTGCAGCTTTATATCTTGGCACTGCCTGTGTCATACGGTATTCTTTCCTACGTTGTTGTCTTCACTTCCAAGCTTCAATATCATGTTTCATTCAGTTTTCTTTTTGGTGACCAGGGTATGACTTCAAAGTACATCATCTATTCCCCGACAAATCATAATAACATGTAAGATTATATACATTGGGGGGAATTTATCAAAACTGGAGCACATTTGCACTGCAGCCAACCAGCTTCATTCTTCCTTTTTTAAATCTTACCTAAGCAAACTAAGCAAGAGAGAAGCTGATTGGTTGCTATGGGAAACTGCTCCAGATTCTGTCTGCTCCAGTTTCGATACATTTCTCCCCATAGTTGTTAGGTTTGAATGAAGACACGGGTCCTTCCAGTTCAACCTATGTGAGTCACTAAGGGTACCTGTACCCCTATATATTGTGTTCACTAAGGAAGGACTCTAAGTCTTTTGAATGAGTCTATACTGCTGATATCACTACCTGGGGAAGGGAGTTCCACAATTTTACCGCTCTAACCATAATGAATTACCTTCACAGTTTGCGCTTTGTAATGCATGCTGGTAATCTGCTGGCCTTCTTTGCTGCAACTTGGCATTGCATTTTCATCTTAAATGAACAGTAAACAGTGTACAGCCAGTCCCCGGGTTACGAACAAGATAGGGACTGTAGGTTTGTTCTTAAAGGAGAACTATGGGGTCAGGGCTTTTCCCCGTAGTTCTCCTAAGGGTAACGGGAGGACATAAACTAGCGTCCTTCCATCACCCTAAGCTCAGTATATAGCGAGGTACAGCTCAAGGTATACTGAGACGCCGCAGCCGGGACGGATCCTGACATTACTGTCTGGATCCGCCCAGCAGCGTGAGTGACAGCTGGCTATCTAGAGGCAGAGCCAGCTGTGCTTGTCCCCTCCCCCGTCTGTTCCGCCAGTCAGCGCTGGAGGATCGGACAGGGGAGGGGGGGGAATCCCTGCAGGGAGCCGTGAGTGACAGTCACGGCTCACTGCAGTGATAGATTGGGAAGTGAACGAGCGCCGGTATGTGTTCGCTCACTTCCCGATCTATAGAGCCGACCTGTGACAGTCTCATTGTTACACATCGGCTAGAACTATGAGGCCGAGTGATTTTCACCTCATAGTTCTCCTTTTAAGTTGAATTTGTATGTAAGTTGGAACAGGTACATGTTTTGTTTTTGTTTTGGATAGCACAGGGAAAGGGTTACCCCCTGTAACGTTTGTTTTGCTGTGTGTGCCCCTATTCAGAAGATTTCACCTCACTTTCTGTCCCTGTGACACTTGGATTTAGAAAATGTTGGGTTGTTGTGAAAACAAGGATTGGTGATAAAGCTTCAGTGGAGACATCTTTTTCCCATGATCACTCTTACAGGAGTGAATTCCCTTCCGAGGGGTAGATTACCTCTCACTTCCTGTTGTCTCAAGGACAGGAAGTGAGATGAAATCTTTCTAATGAGGATACAGACAGCAGTAAAAACCTCACAGTGACCCGGAAGAAGAGGCGGGCACCCCTCGTCTGCACGTCTAACGAGAGCCAACTTCCTGTAATGTACGTACAGCACTACGTACCAGACCTAAAAAGGTGGGCATTCCTCGCAGGCACGAGCGCGGTAGCATTACAACTCCCCTGCTGAACAGTAATAGCCTCCGTTTGTAAGTAGGAGTCGTATGTAAGTCGGGGACTGGCTATATTACTGATTCTACCATCACCATTAAACAATTTGTACAGGACAATCATATCCCCTATTGTATCCCCTCCTTTCTGTGGATCGGTGACCAAAACTGAGCCGCATACTCGAGACGAGGCCGAACCCGTGTTTTATATAGCAGGGGATTTTGTGTCTGGAGTAAATAACCTTTTGTATGCATGATGATAGTCTTCTGACCTTATTTGCTGCATCCTGGCATTGTGTTCTGTTGGCTAGGACCCCCCAATCTTTTTTCCACCTCCGAGTTCCCTGAGCTCCCCCTAATGAGTAGGTGTCATGCATATTTGTAACACCTAAATGTGTAACTTACATTTTGCAATATTAATCCTCACCTGTCATGTAGTTGCCCACCCCCTATTTTAGCCAAGTCCTCCTGTAATGTTTCTATGTCTTGTGCTGAGTTTATTACCGTGCAAACTTTGGGTGTCATCAGCAAACGCTGAAACGTGGCTATTAATACAAACCTCATTATCCTTAATAAACTGGTTAAGCCGCATTGGCCCCAAGCAGAACCTCACCTTGTGATTTACCACAATGTTACAACATTGCAGTCTGATCACTGGGGGAGCGGAGACCGAGAGACTGCTTCCTCCTGCCCGCAGCAGACTGATGACATCATCCCAGCCTAAGGAAAGTCACTTGGCTGTAGCTCACGGACTGATTTTTAATCGAATTTTAAAATCTCTTTTGCTGCTTATTGTTTGGAATGTGTGACCGCAGACTTGTAAGATCAGCGTTATACTTGTTCATTTCTAAAAGCACCTCCATCTCAGATATCATAACTATTCATGTGTCATATGGAAAATGTGCAAAAAGATACGGAGACAGCTGTGTCCAATGTCCAACCACTCTACATACCAGGAGAGAGCAGTCCCATCTAGTGCTAGTACCCATCAATGGTGATGAGACGTGTGTTCTGTGTTTCAGGGCAGCCTGATGTTCTGGCTCTGGACATTCTCATGGATCACCTGCTGAACTTCTTGAAGCACCATATTGAGTGGAAGGAGCCAGCGCACCCTTGTGAGTGGGTGTCTCTCACCTTCATAGAGCAGGATGACGACATGTTAGAGGTTGCCAAATGTCTGCTCAAGCTGTACCAGCACAATCCTAGGTATGTTGAAGATGATCACAAAAGAAAATTGTGGACCTTACATTACAAATGATGTAACCCCCCTCCTCTCCCCCGTGTAAAATCAGTGTGCCTAGGTACCAGTAAACGTCGCTCAGTCATCCCTCATGAGACCGAGCTACTGCATAGAGAGGGAGTGAAAGAACAAAGCAACTTAGGTCTGCAAAGGAGTGAGAGGGCCACATGCAGCCTTACAGACACTGGTTTGACATTCCTAACAGTTCACAAAGAAAACCTTTTTTTTTATATATATATATATATATATTTTTAACTTAATTGCTATCACATAGGGGGCTCACAAGCTCCTTAGTGGTGACAGGTTCTCTTTAAGGTGACATTAGCGGTCTATTAGATCCCTGGTGTCACCTTTCCACTTCAAGGAAGCTATTTAAGTGCAGATTGCGCTTGCATGGCGTCTTTTCCAGCTTCTCTCACTGGCAAGGAAGCAGAAGTAATGCAATCAGTGTCGCTTCTGGGTTAATTCAGTGAACAGATGTTTATCAGTCTCTCTCCCCTCTACCCGCATACACCCGTGATACTAGTCCCGGGTCCACAGGAGGGGCAGTGGAGGCCGGGAAGCAAGGCGGGTGGGATGGCATTTTTCATCGGCCCCTGGAAGCAATCTGGCAACAGTTCAGCCACCAGAATCGCTTCCAGTGTAAAGCAAACAGTCGGCTTACACAGCTAAACAGAGTCCCGCCGGGAGTCCTCTGACAGGGGATCGCTGCCAGCGATGTACGGCATACGTCATTGGCAGGGAAAGGGTTAAAAGCTAAGTTCACATTTCTGACCATGTTTCATGTTACACCAATATTTCGGGTGTTACATGAAACATGGTCAGATCACAGACCCCCAGCTGCTGCTGTTTGACATTTGTGTGGCTGTGCATGGCTTCGCCCACCCAGATGCGTCACCCATTCACCAATGCAGTGCCAGTGCAGCAGAAGGACTTGTAGATTCAATAAAGTGAAGTAGCTGCACTTGTAGTCCATTGGCGCTTCCTCCCGTCCCTGTTCCCGTGTGGTCCCTGATACTACATGTCTGTACCCCAGTATGGACATAGACAGGAGCAGCAGTCTGCAGGAGCCAGAGCATTGCACCCATGATCTTCTGATCTCCGTTGCAATGCTTTACTGGCTCCTATGCGACGAATGCACATTTTGTCTTTTATGAAGAATTGTGCATTTTATTATGTTTCTGCAAAATGTGGAATTATCTTTTTAAACATTTGATTTCTCTGACCTAGCTAGCGCCTTGATGTGTGTGACCACTTGCTGGGTGAGATGCCATATGAACTGTAGCTGTTGGGTATATGCGCTGTCGCTCATCTTCCTCATTCCCCAGAGCCCCTGTATGTAAATGTTGTACTGCTCTGTAGTCTGCTGTCCTCTATTTCTAGGAGAACGGACGCACCTTGCTTTGCATCTGAATTAGTCTCACATGTCACCCTTTGTTCTAGTTCTACACGCGGTGAACCGGAGAAGGGGACATGGAGTGAGCCGTCACATCAGTGTGGTAGTAACCCTCACTGCATATTCCTGCTCCTGCTAAGCAATGTCTTGTTTGATTCATCTGTGCTTCTGGATTTTCTGATTTCCTCCGAGACCTGCTTCCTGGAATACTTTGTCAGGTACCTGAAGCTGCTGAAGGCTGACTGGCCTCACTTCTGTCTCATATGTACTTTATATGATAAGTCCAGAAATTTCCACCCAGCTACTTTGCCCAGCGTCTTTGTCTGTCCACAGCAAGAGCAATCGGTGAAAGCAACACGGGTTCAGAGTGACTGCATTAGTTTTCCTAATCTCCTTTCACCCATTCCTATGGACATTGGCAGTGCTGCCTCTTCTCCAGTCAGCCATACCAAGCATTCAACACCTTCTTCCCCATCTGGCTGTCTGGGTGCCCTTCAACGCCTTGTAGATTATGGGAGCTCTGAAGATTCTGAATCCGAATCTGCAGATAGTAAGCAGGGTCCTGTCATTGTTCACTCTGCAGGAGCTGACAGCTCAGATATAGATAAACACATGAAAAAGTTGGAGCTGAAAGCTCAGCGTTCCTCGCAATCAAGTGCACAAGCTGACAGCACATGTCATGCCCAAGGTGTCCAGCAGAGGGCAGTGCGGTGCTTGGAAGACCTTCAAGAAGCCATTAACAGGCTGCATAGGAAGAAGCTGTTTCCCTATAACCCGTCTGCATTACTAAGACTTCTCTCACATGTCAGTGATCTCAGCAAACACTAGAGCGGTATCCATTCTGCCCCAACAATTATGGTGCTATAACCTAGTAAGTGCCCAATAAAATACTGATTGGCCAGAGCAATTGAGGATTAAAACATGACCGTGGTTATCACGGATATCACCTATACCAGGGGTAGGAAAACTCTGACCCTCTAGCTCTGGTGCAACTACAACTCCCATTAGGTTTGACAGCCAGAGGCATGACTACTAGAGGCAGATGCATAGTGGGATTTGTAGTTTCACCACAGCTGGGGGGGGCTGTAATTTGCCCACCCGCGACCTATACTGACCAACATTTCTTCTGTTCAGCCTAAATGACCAGTTTGCTGTTTGTGAGTTGATTAAATGGCACCATTATAGACATTGGACTTCCTCCGTTTGCAGCAAATTCTGAGTAGATGGACCGAGCACAAAACATGTTACAAAATCGTATCAACCTGATGGTGCTAAATCTCCAAAATAATACTTTGTCTACTTAAAGGGGAACTGAACTCTGGAAGCTGCGCCACAAAAAGCAGGCCGAGGGCAAAGGACTAGGCGCCTTGTATTGCCTGTGATCTCCCTTACAGACTTACAAAGTCTTTTCCGGGATGTGTCTCTGTATAGGGGCAGCCATCTTGTTGGAGGCAGAGCTTTGCTTCCTCATGTCAGAGCCTCCAGTAAGGAGAACAGTGAGCAGCACAGCAGTCACATAACTAAATCTTTACCAAATCTCCCGAGACTAGCAGTCAGAGGCAGCAGTGCCTTAGATCTCACACCGCAGATATACATAGTTACTTAGTATTGGAGGTTGAAGTGTGTGTGTCTGTCTGTGTGTGTGTAGTGCGTGTGTGTACACGAGTCCCTGTGTGGTCTTAGTTGTTAAGAGTACCTGTACCTCTGTATGTTATGGTCGCTGGGGAAGGTATCGAATGGATTTTTGAATGAATCAATACTCTCTGCTGACACCACTGCTTGTGGCAGAGAGTTCCAAAATGTAACGGCTCTGACTGACAAGAATCCCCTACGCCCCTTGTATCTCTGAGGTTGTGGGCTCAGGAGGTCCCAGGCACCCTCACATACCGGGAAGTGTGCTGCTACTTGGACGAGGAAGACATGCCGTGTATGTTTCAGGGTAGTGTTTGGGCACAATGAACATTCGTGAATCTTTGCTTTTTGAGTTCAGTTCCTTTTTAAGAATGTATTTTGCACAAGAAACGGGAACTTTCATTCAAATATATTTGTAACCACTGTAAGGTATTTGGAAAATACGCCGGTTACATATTTGTGTCGTGTCAGTGTTATTAAATGTACTGTACAAGTTCTGACATGCGTTTGTAAGCACAGAGATATGGGGATCGTACAAGTCATAGGAATAAAGCACGGCTCCTCCACGGCTTCAGCAGGAGAAAGACAGCCGGCTGCTCGTCAGCACGAGTGTGTCCTCGCTTTATAATAAAGGAAGACTCTGTTCCACGCTGAATCAGATCATTAAATGCGGCCCAAAGTCTGCCCCTTCTGTTTCACCCAAACCTATGACTAAGCCCATGTCAGAGGGGGGCAGACCTCGGGCAGGACATAGCCACACGGACACATTGTCAACAAACTGCTTCATTGTGGAACAAAATGCAGGAGAGATTCTTCCATTACTATATAGAGGTGGTAGTAGTTGGGCTTGATGTTCCTATAGGTTATTGGGCTGCTCCTTATAGCCGAGTCTGAGATGTGTTAACACACGGCAGTAGCTACTTCTCTATAGTAGGATGGTGCCACCTGCATTCAGCATCAGTGGTCTGAGAACAGGTCTTGTAGAGTTTGTGGTTGCATCGGCCCATAGAGGTTGCTTAGCCATAACTGAACGATGTATCCATCCCTGTATCGTTAAGTCATTGTGGAGCTAATGACTTTCCTCTGGAAGTGGGAACATATGGAGCAATGTGGGTTGTATTCTAGGAGCGGAAGGAGGGATTATGAAGATTGGGGTTTTGCAGGTTGGCTGTAGGGGAAGTTCTAGGTGTTGGGTTTAGGACAATGGGCTTATATCATACATCGGGGTCCAGTTATGTCACGTTGTTATACTTGTATTCAATGTGGCCCCATTGATCATAGCTGTGTGATCCTACATGCTTTCCCAGTCATCAATCACTTCATTCAGATGTACGTTAGGAGTGTTTGTGACAATAACATATATAAAGACAAATCTAATGGTGCTAAACACTGCTTTTTAGAAACACATTTGTGTGATGTGCATACTGAGCCATGCGTCTGTTGGGGATAATGAAGGACTTGTGGATGGAACATGAGAGATGGAGACTAGGTGCTGTGATACTCTCATGGACTGACACATATGCAGTCACACACTCATGTGGCAGATCCAGAAAGGCAGGGAACGCATTGTTGTTATGTGCATGTATTTCAGCATTCTGGGGGGTTCTTATTGTAAAGGAAACAAGGGGGGCTGCCATCGCTGAGCTCCTCAGGACTATGCTACATATCTTGCTCTCGCTGGTTTTGGCTTTATTTCCCCTGACGCAGAGCTAGTATGCAGCAAGTGAAGTCGTAACTCCTTATCTGCATACTTGTTCCAGGTCAGTGACCTAGAAAATACTAAAGCCCCTGGATTCTGATAGCCAGGCCTGTAGCATTTTTAGAAGGCAATGTTGTAAATTCCGGTTTCCTGTAACATGACAAATGCATGCCGGGTATTTATTACAATGAAACGTGTCATTAATGTGAAGAAATAAAGAACTTTCATTGAAGAAACAACAACTTGTTCTGAGTTATTTCCTCCAGCCTGTGACTGCGGATCATGACCAGTGAGGTTCCTACACAGTTGTATAGCACTGAGACTCTACAGAGAAGCCTGTCCCTTGTTTGTGTGCTGATCTAGTTCCAGCCACTGATGCCATGTTATAATGGGAAATCCGTGCTGCCAAACCGACCACCTGGTGGCCTCATGTGGTTACAACAGGGGTAGACAAACTCCGGCCCTCCAGCTGTGGTGAAACTACAAATCCCACCATGCATCTGTGTTGGAAGTTAAAATAATTGACCTCTATGATACATCTTTGATGGAAAGGTTCCTTAATATCGTGAGCTGCCCGTGCTGTTTGATATGCGAATGAAGACCATCAAAGGGTTCTTGGGGCTGGACACTGATCAAAGGAGATCTGCTGGACTGTCATGTCCTGGGGCAAGCCCGACCCCCTGCTGGTATTTACTGCCCACACCTGTGTCAGCAAGGCATATATGCTGGGGTGGGGGCAGGGGCATCTGATGGAACCTTCTTCCTGTGTGACACTAACCTAGCTGACCAGCAAGACCTTTGGACAAGACAAGTCTTTCTGAACTCTGCAATCAAGAATGTGATTCGCTGAGACCTGCTGGAGAGGCGTGTTCTGAGAACAGGAGAAAAACCCCATGGCATGTGTGACTGAGAGAGAGAGAATGGTGTAGCTAGCTGTAGGATCCTTACCCTCAATTCCTATCCCCAATTCCCCTTTCAAATCCCCTTATTTGTAATATGTATGTATATCCCTATTTGTAAATAAACCCAACACTTATTTAAGACTCATTTGTTCATCAGTAATTTAAGGCACCCCCAAATCAGAGCACATTCTACAATCTGCCTCAGGGAGTCATACCTGTGGCTTGCTTGTCAGAGTCTTGCAATGCATCATGGGATTTGTAGTTCCACAACAGCTGGAGGGTTGGAGTTTGCCTACCCCTGCCTTACAATGCTAAAATGCTGTCCCCATGACCTAGTTTAAAATACATTTGATGAATTATGGACATTTATGTAACGTGGCTGACTTAAAGGAGAACTATGGGGTCAGGGCTTTCCCCCATAGTTCTCCTAAGGGTAACGGGAGGACACAAACGGTATACTGAGACGCCGCAGCCGGAACGGATCCCATTCTGTCTGGATCCACCCAGCTGCGTGAGCGACAGCTGGCTCTGCCTATCTAGAGGCAGAGCCAGCTGTACCCGCCCCTGTCTGTTCCGCCAGTCAGCGCTGGAGGATCAGACAGGGGAGGGGGGTGGAATCCCTGCAGGGAGCCGTGTGGGACAGTCACGGCTCTGCACGGATAGAACGAGAAGTGAGCGAGCGCCGTTATGTGTTCGCTCACTTCCCGATCTACTGAGCCGACCTGTGACAGTCTCATTGTCGCAGGTCGGCTCAGATTATGAGGCTGAGTGAACTTCACTCACCTCATAGTTCTCCTTTTAAATCCTAGGTGTCTACTCACTGCACATTAAACATGTCCTATTGTACTGCAGGTTAAAGTGAACCTGTCATAAGAGCTGTTCAGATCCTTGCACTGCTGAACTCCTCCTGCAAATGCTAGATGCCTGGCTGTGTCACTTCAGTACTTTTGAGTCACAGACCCAGAACAGACATGTTGTAAATGAGTGTCAGAAATCCTAATCTCTTTTTCCAGAGCATCTACTCGGCATTGAAGCCAAAACCCCTGCATGACAGTCAGGATCCATTCTCAGAATGTGAGCTTAGCAATGGCAACCTCTAGTAGACTCTCATTAGAGTTTCCATGTAATCAGTAAGAAAGGTTGAACACAGCTCTCCCCCATTTCATATAGTGATGATGCATATAATTACGAGTAAATCCAGTACCTGTAAAGGTGAACTCCAGCTATATATACTTGCACTGGTCCAGCTTGTCACAATGTAAATATATATATATATATATATAATCATCTTGGTAGGGCCACTGGGATTGTGTAATACACTGTAGTAGCAGCACCTACTCCAGTGCATTGCAGTCTCCCAAGTCCAGGAAAGGTGCTATCCTGGGTGGCTTCCTCTGCTTTTAAGACCCATTGGGTTGTTTGCTCAGCACGTCGGCCATGCTAAAGAGCGCTAGTATTTGTCTCAATGAATACTAGGGGTTCTGCTTAAATAAGGGGCGGTGATGTCACGTCTGCAGCTACTACAGTGTATTACACGATCTCCGTCGTCCTTCCAGGGATCATTTATAAGTACATACATTGTGCCAAGCTGGACC